GAATGTTTGTGCTTATGAAGGAGGGGCGCTCTGCATATATCCAATAATGAATCTGGCCTATCTCAAAGGAAAACATGTTAAACACCCAGGAACATCCTTTTTTGACTGATTAACCCTTCAGCACCTCCTAATCTGACCATAAATGTCTGGACTGGACATATACTTATGTCCAGTCCAGAACGGCTCCTTCGATCAGAAAATCGAAGGAGCCGCTCGGAACATTTTCAGGTGAACCATGTCAGAATACAATAGCCCAGTGTGAGATTTGGCCCACAGGTTGAGCAAAAAAGTTATAACAGGGCATGACCTTCTGTAATGTAAGCTGGCACAGCCTTCATGAGAGGGTCAACTCTGCTCTAAATGTAGGAGCAGTAAAGCATTGTTGCCACCCCATCACAGAAATCTGCATTAGATGGACTTCACTAACAGGCTCAATGGGTATTTGTGGGACATTGTAAGGGGAGCTATGAGAAATCTAGATGCAGATGCACTTATAATTAAGTCCTGCAGCGCAATGTTTTTATGGTAGGCCATGGTTCTATTTTAAAGTACTAAACTGGCCATAAAGATGCCTAAAAGTCCAAAATTTTCAGTTATCCTATCAGCTCAATATGATTCAGTACTCACAGTTGTATTCTAACTGTCTACAATGTTACAAATATTACAAATATTACAAATACATATTTATATCTCTGTATAAAACATTGTGCTGTCTGCATGTTGGAAAAACTTTCAAGTTTAAACTTCTATCAGCCAGGTAGTGGTAACAACCCTTTGATGCACAGGCCTTTCACAATAAAAAAAAAATCTGTACTATAATTGCCCAAAAACCATCCAGAATATCCATAAAACTAGAGCAGAAGTTGCAAGCACAAATAATTTGTCATCCTAACTAATTTGACTGTAGTAAACTAGATGCCCATGGACAGGCTCCCTGTCTGTACCATGACAGCGAAGCTTGAACTAGTGTGGAACCGTGATAATTTATTAACCCTTTAAAAAATAAAAACATGTTTATAATTCCAACAGTATAATAAAGAATTGTGTCTAGATGTGATTTGATTTAGACACACATTTGCAGGGCTCAGAGGGCAGCCTCGGTCCTCGAACGCCAAAAATACTAAATCAAAAGACTAAACTGAAAACATTTAATCTCACTCTATATCTCTAGCTCCTTTCTGGAATGGTGCAAATTTCAATGCAGATCCAATTAAGAACAAGAAATGTGCTATTTTATGCTAACTATGAATGAATAAAACAAAAAAAAAACTATATCTAATGACACCAATTATTCCATCTTTAAAGGAGAACTGTGGGGTAAGTTTTTTCCCCCCATAGTTCTAAGGGTCACGGGAGGACATAAACTAGCATCCTCCCATGACCCAAAGCTCAGTATATTGCAAGCTACAGCTCGCGGTATACTGGGACTGCCGCAGCTGAGGGGCGGGTGAGCGAGCGACGGTATGCATTAGCTCACTTCTCGATCTATTGAGCCGACATGTGACAGTTTCATTGTCACACGTCGGCTCAAACTATGAGGTTGAGTGATTTTCACTCACCTCACAGTTCTCCTTTAATAATTAATATGGCATATACAGGTATATATACAAGAGAGGTTTTCCTGCACCCTGTATCTGCAGAGCTCTAATCACCTTTCATAGCATGCAGCTCAGCAGAAACCTATATATCTCTAAATAGCTCTTCTACTTAAACTAAAAACCCCAGAAATGGTTCTGACCCCCGTCTACTACTACACTCCGGTTCACAGCTTCTCCGTTTTACCTGTATTTCTACAGCACCACCTACTGGTACAATTGGAGACTGCACCACATTCATGGAGACACATTGGGACCCTATGAGCAGTATAATTTTTAGGCAGGCTTCAGTTGCAATGGGGCAGGGTTTCCAACCATCCAGAAATGGCCAGTATGTCAGAAATGGGGGATTTTATATTAAAAAAATGGTAGAAATGCACTGATACATAACAATTCCTATTAAAATTTTAGGGCTTAACACTTATTTGGTGGTCTCATCCGATACAGACGATAGATAATATTGCAGCCTACAGAGCAATACCAACCTGCATCAGTCTTGTTCTTGTCACACACAATGGTTAAATGCTAATACATATCATCATTGCAATAATTCTACTTATATAGGGTCACTTTTTTAAGTTAGACAATACAACCATCATGAGTAATCTGACATTGGTGTGGCGATAGAAATGATAAGCTGTCCTTAAAGTGACACTAAACTCAGGAATTAAACCTTAAAAATGCATTTGGGTACTTTACCTATTAACATAAATGTATATCCAAGCTCGCTCCCATGATGGACTACAATCTCAATACAAATTAGTAAACTAAACATGAGACTTTAGTCCATCACAGGAGCGAGCTTGGAGTGGTGGCTACTTTACAACACACACAGTGACCATGGGGAACAAAAGTAGCCACCGTCCAGAAGGAAGGACAGTGTCAGCATGAATTCATGGAGATGATTTGAGGATCTATAGCTAAATTATACACAAATAAGATACATTTTTGTTAATAGTTAAAGTGGACCCATATCTTTAAAATAACAACAAACACACCTTTAGAAATCTTTAGTAATGACCATCTACAAACAGATACTTCTAGATAATTGCCGGCTTTGAATTCATTGCATACCTTATTTCTCTTTTCTTCCCCAGTGTTCTGGCAGTGACATGTTTGCTAAGGGCAGATTACTAGTTTTCCTATTACTTTCTGGATTTCTGGGGCATGTGACTAGGACATGTGACCATGCACATCATCTCAGGGGAGGAAAATGCCTTTCTCTGAGATCTCCTGAGATTACAGATGAAATTTCCCAGAAATGCTCTGCTGATGAAGTAATCCCCAGTGTGCATTGCTTTGCCAAACTGAAGTCATTTTGCCCCTTGAAAGCAGGAAGTGAATGCTCTGCAAGTGTAAGTATTTCATAATCACAGCATTTTACACCTGACATGTCTATGTTATTATGAATCATCATACATAGAGGGATAAAATGTAGACATGTGCACGGCAAAAAAAATTGTTTGGGACAAAGCAAATGAAAACGAAAAACACTTTAAAAAAAATGATTTATGCTGTTTTACGTTTGGAGGCATTAAGCCTCTGAATCAGAAACCACACAATGAAACTGCAGAACGAGCAGTGGCTATATCGGCAGCCGGTGCGTTCTGCGCATGGATGCCACCATCTTGGAATGTATCTTGGTATACACCAAGATGGCAGCGCCTCCATCTTGGTATACACCAAGATATACTCCAAGATGGCAGCGCGATGGCGGCCTATATGGCCACCGCTCGTTCAGCGTATGACATCACCCAATGCTGTGCACGCGCGGCGTCATGTACACCGCCTTCAAGATTTATGTATTTAGTTTTCACATTTTCAGGCATTGAATAAATGTGTTATTTCGATTCGGACAAACCACGGAATCAACTGAATTTCGTTGATTTGCAGGTTTGTCCGAATCCAAATGCAGATGTCTAATTCATTGGTAGAATTTGATTTTGAGTGTATGAAGGTATGAATGCATTTTTAAGATTTCACTCCTGAGTTTAGTGTTACTATAAATAAACTTGTACCAATAAAATACATAGTCTACCTTTGTTAACTTTTCTTTTAAAAAATGTTTGTTGCCAGTTAGGTTGGTCCAAAGGGTTCACTACTTTAAGTTGCTGACCAGAAACAAGTGCAAATCAGAAGTTGTGACTCTCCTTTGAGATGCTTTTTTCAGGACATTTATTCAGAAAGCATTGAGGATAGAGACAGCCAGGCAACTAATATTTTTAGAAGTATATTTCACTCAGTACAGGATTCTAGCAAAAAAATAAATTTCAGTCATGTGTTCCTGAATGCTCATCCTGTTCATGAGAGATATGTTGTTAGAGACCTGTCTGAACTGCTGCACAACAATGTCAGAAAACTTCAATAATAAAATGTAGGAGGGATTTGTCTTCTGATGGGCATTCGCTGTGAAAGCTTGTGATATTGCTGATATACCAATTTCAAGGATAACTGGGAACCTTGTGTTTTTTTTACGGACCTCTCTATGTAGTATCTTGGGACATATTGCTGCAATTTTAGAATTTCTGTGCCACCTGCTGGTAAAATGTGCTATTGCAGAGTGACCCCAAAATTCAGTCGTTTTCTATGAGAACCGTGGTATGTCTTTCATTGGGCTACAGTCCACCAACTATCATCAGCAACAGCATTCTGACAATTTTTACAAAGACGTCTTGCAAGGTGGAAACCCCGCTATGTTATTACCGCCATGTGCACTAGTCAAATCCAGGACATGCATGTTTCTTGTTACATCCATGTAACCACATGAGCAGACCTGACTGAGCTCTGTCACCCAAGAAGTGAACTTATATCAGACACATGTACTATGGTGCCAAGGAAAGGGCTCTTCTGTACATATCCTTTGCTCTGTATTGTATAATATGTTTTGTTTTATGTCAGCCAATTATAACTTTACAATGATCTGACACAATATATCGTGTAACATTCTGCTGGTGATTTACTTGGTAAAATAATGAAATCTCATGGGTCCATCAATCATGATATAAAAATACTGACTGTTAAAACTGAACTCCAGGCGCATATAAAAAGAAATGTCAGCTTTGCATTCATTTATAAAGATTGCTAATATTTTTTACATATGACTAGTAAAAGTACCTGAATCTGTATTTATGTCAGCCAACTGTAATCTCATTTGTAGCAGCAATCACTCTTGGAGTCAAAGGGTTACCATTCATACTGAATTGTGTCTGCTGCACTGCTGAGAGCTGTCACTCCAACACTGTAAACACATTTACAGGATGGAAGAGCACTGTGATTATCGTATCATTGTGCTCCTGCTCCTTCATTGTCCAAATACAGGCTAATGCAGATCCTGGACCTGCATATGTACATTGTAGTCTGCAGAAAGGCCCAGGACCTGGCTGCGCGGTCTGGAAGGAGTAACTGTATTACAAGTTTGGCTAAACAGAATTAGAAATCCTTTGGCAAGTAAAACAGTTCCCATACATGAAATTAACCTGTGTATTTATCTGTTTGCCTGGAGTTCAGCTTTAAACCTTTTCTAACCCAAAAGACACCTATAATACATTTTCCTTGTAGTAGGCAGCATATATTTTACAACATGGAAAGCTTTAATGCACTTTGTCTGGGTCCTTTTTGGCAGTAAAAGAATCTTCACAGTTATTTATAAAGTTGCTCCTGTTTATTGGCACTATGGTAATGAAATTAAATAGGTCTTTGCACAGTGACACATTGTGCATGTAGCTGGTGAAGTCTGCAGAGTGAGAAAAAAACAAAAAAGACCCATTGGTGGAATCTACTGTGACTGCAGTGATGCTGAGGGGTTCAGTCCAGGGCAAGCAGCGGCTGAGTGTTCTCATTATCTCTGTGCTCCGCGTGCATCAGTGTGCCAGGCTCTACCACAGACTGGGACCTGCAATGAGAAAGAAGAGTAATAGTCACTTACAATACACCAAGTCACAGAGAAGGGAATTTTAGAAAGAAAGGTCTTTTTTTTCAAATAAAGATAATGAAGGGAATTTAACTGGAGCAGCTGTGCATGGCGGCCAATCAGCACCTCTCTTATTTTCAAATCTTAACTGAACAAACTGAAGAGGGAAGCTGATTGGTTGCTATGCACAGCTGCCCCAGATTTTGTCTGCTCCATTTTTGATAAATTGCCCTCAATGCATTTATTAAGGGCAAGTTGGAATATTTCTTTGTGGAACCCTTATCAAATCTAAGACTGCATCCACTTTGTCCTCATCAAGCTCTTTTTCACAATGATCCAAAACAGTTTCGGTTCCATTTTTCTATAGGCACAGCCAGGGCCATTTCTACTACAAAACAAGTAAAGAGTCCTACAGGAAAAAGTAGAGCATTGGCTTGACTACCCCTTCCTGGCAGCACATACTGATATCTTCTTCACTATGCCGCCATTCCATTCAGCACCTAGGAACCAAAGGAGATATTTGGTAATCCCTGTAAGGGAGAGCATGTTACTAATTCCATGTAAGAGCACTGAAATAATCAGCATTGGTCACAAGTTGGTCCATAGTACTGTGTAACCTCCAGCAGTAACACCAGCATCTCACAGAACGTTAATTCATGGCTGAACGGAATGGCGGGGAGCAAAAAAAGTATATGCAGCCATAACCCATTGCTTTGCACTGCATGGGTGGAGGCCCCTATCTGCCTTGGAATAGACTTCCTCCAGGTCCAAGAATAAAGAAAGTGATTTAACCCATGCAACCCAATGTAAGCGTATATTTCTCCCTAAGGCAGCACTTCCATGTACTGGCTACAATTTTCTGCTCATATTATGAACACAAGAGAAGCCTCCTTGGTACTGCAGAGATAGAATACAAATCACTTGAAACAGTGTATGGCAGCATTATAAATGGGCTTTCTATTTTAATTGCAAGTATGTCCTTGGTCTAGGTCAACATCATTAATCTGATTGCAGTTTATAGTTAATACTGAACCACAAGGGCCTATGTCACAATTCCTTTTCTTTAGAATATCAAATACACACTTTTATTCTGTAAATCAATGCCACATTATGCTACCTATTTCAACCACTCAAATATTTTTACTATAGTCTAATCGGTATAGTGCAGTAACTCGCCAACCAGATATCAGATTACTGTAGTTAAATCAGAAAACCATACCAACCAATCGGATATCAGTTTACTATGGCAAGTACAGTAAAAGAGGAATTCTGATATACCTAATGAAGTGACTTAAAAGTACAGTCAAACAGCATGGCCAGTAGCAGCTCCAACTCAATGCATGCTTGGTCAAGTGGTTCAGTAAGCACATTTGATCATATAATTATATTTGCTGCATTTCAGAAACTGCTAGCTTCCAATAATGTGAAAAAAAACAATCAGTAAGTTGCAGTATGGCCAGACTTGTTCAAGTTGATAGGATGTCTACGACTGCTCAATTAACCACTTTTTTTTTTTAATTAAATATAGTGAGTGGAAGGGAACCCCAAATGCAGAAATAGTCAGACCTCAGAGAGTATGAAATACAGCACTAAAAGGTTCCACTCCTGCCAGCTAAGAACAGTAAAAATAGGCTACAGTAGACACAGGATCACCAAATCTGGGCACCTAAAACTGCAGAAATAATGCATGGTCTGATAAATTTTGTATCTTTTTTTGCAAGGGTCGTTTAAAAAAAATATATAAAGTGATACTACAAAACTAACATTGAAGTACAAAGAAGACTAAATTAAATATAAACCCTAAATACATCCCACTACCCTCCAAAAAACCCATCCTCTATATCAGCCTTTCTTACCCAGGGTTTCTTCTGAGGTCGCTAGAGGTTCTTTGAGTTGTGGCTGACAGACCTCCCATCTGATGGTACCTGCAATTGTTCCAGGTCCAACACCACTTAGCAGAGCCAGGGTTGTGCCACAAGCAGTCTGTTTTATTATTGTTTACCATACATTTGTGTCCTGGTATATCCCAGTTTACCCACCTACTGTTTTGTGTATATCGGTACAGCCTTCTAGTTAAACACTCCCAGCCTCTCCTCCCCAATTTATTTTCACCTTCTCCCTCACTGTGGTAAGAAGGTTCTATTCATGGTGTTATGAGGTGTCCAGGAAAAAATGTCTTTCCATCTCTAAGAATGACAAGGAATCACATCCTCTGTATTGTCAAGCCTGAGTAAACTACAGTGGATTCTTCTTTGAGCCTTCTTGGTGAGCTGGACACTGCCTGTGGATACCACCTCAGTAGGTTGTCATACTATCCATATGGACGAGTCTCAGGAGGTATGTTCAAATGCATAAATCGGTGGTTGAGACAGAACAAGGGGCATAACACCAATGATCTTTTTAGCTGTCGGTAAGGATGGCATGCTGACCACCACTGTAAGTAGAGCATTCTTCTCAATGACTACCAATGTAACAGGCAGTCTTCCCACTGACCACCAATGTAAGGGGCAGTCTTCCCACTGACCATCTATTTAAAAGCAGTCTTCCCACTGATCCCCAATGTCAGGGAAAGTCTTCCTACTGACCACCAATATAAAGGGCAATCTTCCCACTGACCACCGATTTAAAGGCAGTCTTCCCACTGACCACCAATGTAAGGGACAGTCTTCCCACTGACCACCAATGTAAGGGACAGTCTTCCCACTGACCACCAATGTAAGGGACAGTCTTCCCATTGACCCCCAATGAATTCATTTTAGGAGGGGTTATCCGAGACCTAAAAATCCATCTGGGGTAAAAAACTTGAGAAAGGCTGCTCTATATAACGGCAAAAAACAAGTAGATTTTTTTCCAAGTAAATGACTCCTAAGCAGCTAAGCCAGCCAACTAGCATTTGCAGGATGAGAAGTACCCAGCCACCATGTTTTCATTTAACAGACCTTTGGCTATCAATTGTTAACACACTGGCATCTTGTCTATTATCTTTTAGTAAGACTACAAGAGGATCAGACAGAAACAAAGAAAGGAGAGAGGAGAACTGCTTTATTCTGTATGGAATACGCAGCCAGTAAAAAAGGAGGAGGAACACAGATTGGATGCCATTGGTACCTCTACATTGGTAGCTCCTACATTTATGTCTGTGTTGTACCTCCAGTTCTAGAAGCTTAACAATACAGACTGTACAACTACATGTCTAACGACAGTGTGATGCCCTAGCTTTTTCTGCTTTGCTGATGTAATAATTCAAATTAAATCATATAATTGATGTCTTAGGGTATTTTACAATATTATTTATGTTCGGCTCATGCTATGAAATCACATACAATACATTCATTTTATCAGTTTTCTAATTTCTTTCAAAATCGCAAGCTGTCCTCTGTTTAATTATATATAAGCACATGAATGCAGATTAAATAAAGCTTCTTATACATCAGCCTTATCTCAGCTCTCATTATTTCCACAATAGATGCATCTCGTGCATTATTCACTTCCTGCTCATTAATGGTGCTAGCAAGCTGTGGAAATATTAAGCTAGCTCATCCAGAAGAAAGTCAGAAATAAAAAAGGACAAGGGTAATTGCTTAACCGGGGTTATATTGATATAATTAAAGGGCAGCCTGTTTATTTCTTTTGGTACCGACCCCCATTCACACTTGAGCGTGAATGTTTTTCAGGCGATTGTAAAAGCTTTTTTTTTTGTGTGTTTTCCGGGCTTGGGCATTTTTGTTGTAGCCAATGGAAAGCTTGTTACTATGAGAAGGAGATGGTTGTTAGGTGAAAAATCACTCTAAAAAATGTGCATTATGCAAATTTTCCAGGCATTATTTAGGTGCTCTTATTGAAGTCTCTGGGGCTAAAAACACATCATTCTGTCTAAAAAAATGTTTTACATGTTCGCCCTTCAAGATACAAGCGACAGGCAATACAACACTCAGGTGTGAACTGGCACCATTGAAAATAATGGGATTCTTTATGTTGAGCATTGTCGCACTACACAATATTCTCAGGTGTAAATGGGGGGTAAATGGTTTTTGCTACTTTTCTGCTAACTGGTAAGTGACTAGTTTGTAGACATGACACCCCCATAAAGAATGAGTTTGTTCTAACTCCTCCCATACACCTTGTATATTAAGAGGAGTATATCGTTTTTTTCAATTCTTTTTTTTGGCTGCAAGTAGTACAGATCAGGTTGATGTGAATAATCTTATCAATGTGTCTTTAAAAACATTGTTTCTGGTAATTATTTATTACATATGTACATGGGAACAGCCATATTTCAACTTAAAGTTTTGCAGTGCTACACAATGGTTGTGCTTAAGGCTCAACATCAAGCTCTATGCTCCCCTTCTTAATCAACCTCCTTCTTTGTAGCCCCTTTAAGCTGTTTTTATACTTACTTTTTTCACAGTTTCCAGGCCGGTCATGTTGACACCTCAGAGTCATCTTCATCCTTGCTTCTTCTCCAGACTGGTAAGTTGCTACTGATGCTGAGCACGTATAAAAAGTCCAATGAGAGTGCCAAGCAAGACAGTATGAGAGTCCAAAAACTTTTAATAATACAATGAGTTCACAAACAACAGCACAGAACATCCAACATGTTTCAGGGGCTCAAAGACCTCCTCTTCTTCAGAGCATAAACATAATGGGTAGTAACCTGGACTCAAAGCTGGCACAAATCACCAGTGAATAATTATTTGCTGTGTACAGCCAAAATCAGGAAATCAGTTTTGCAGAGTCATTGTGCTTTAACACATTGTGACAGACCGTCTGAATATTTGAATCCAGCACCTCACCTCTACTTGTTCCAGTTACTGATGCCGAGACCAGTGCTGAGGTAATGATGTCAGTGCCACGCTTTGCACCAGTACATAGTGAATAAAGGGCATCATGGTGACGCCCCTTGATGGGCAGTGTCATGACACCCACATTCACAGTAGAGTCCCCAGTCTTCAGGGTTGAGTGACTAAAGGAGTCATTCAACC